TACACTCTTTCAAGTCTATTTCTGTGCTAAAGTAAATTGCCGGTGCGTCTTACTTGATCCGCTCACGTGCTCCTTACAACGACCGCCACGCGCAGTTTCTGTCATAACTGTTATCGCATGACGATTCCTTGCATTTATCGTGAGAAGACATGGTCCATGTTCCGCAAAAAATAGTTAACGAATGTAGGATCGTGGTAATCGCCCATCCTGTAGACCTGGGATGATGAACCCCATTTACTGTCTTTACTGAGTTTGCACGTCTCCTCGATGCAGCTGAATAGCTGAATAGCCTGAAAACATCACAAACGAGAGATTCAGCTGGGTTCCAAGTGAGTCTCTCGAAAAACCAAATTAGTTTGCAAATGAGTGTATATTCGCCAATTTCGTGCAATTTGGTTTCAAGTAGAACATAAGGTTGACGGAAACCCGGAAACTGCGCCTACCAGATGAACTCCGAAAAGGGCGAAACCGGTCGTGGGCTATCGAGGAGTTTTCAGCAACCTTATGAGTAGTACATTACGATGAAAGGCGTTTTCTTCAAAGGTCTCCTTCGTACCATTCTAAGGGCCTTATTTCTACTTACCGTCTTGTGCAAATAAGTAACTGGCTATTTTTCATTCCATTACAAAAGCGATTGGATACCTGTGTTAATACGTATCTACCATACATGTCAAATAGATCAAGCAAGTGGTCTAAAATAAACACTATGTAGTAGTTATGAAAGGTCATGCCTTGCGCGGGAAGGATGCGAAACATAATTAGGGCCACTTAATTATCCAAAGCCATAAATGAGTTGCGCTGAACATATGCGGTGCGTGCGGAATTTGTGATGGTGCGATATCATGACTGCAATGAACTCAATCGTGATTGACATCTTCACATTCAGGATGAGCAATAGAGCACTTCACTTCAGCCACTGTTTGGATAACGCGCGGATCCTCATCGTCAAGTGATGTCGAGTAGATATGTACCGATGTAGACCGCGCAATAAGTAACAGATGCATTGAAATTAATTTCAACGGATCGAAACGTTTAGTGACAAACACTATGGCTAATCTCTCTGGATACGGACTCCAATAAACGGGCGGTTTGCCACGAACACCGTACGCCATTGCAACGCGAAAAGTATCGAAGGCTCAACAAGTGCCTCGAGCGTCAAAAAATCTCTCTGTACATAGTTTGAAATATCATGTGAGCGATCCATAGCCTTTAGCCGCTGAAGTGTGTGAAATTCCGGAATGTCCCCTTGCTGATAAGAGTGCCCATCCAGCTTGGACTCAGGTAAGCAGAGGATCACAGTTGCTGCGAGTGGTAAACTGTGGCGTCCCATGGTGATAAAAAGCGCTATCTATAAGGCTCAGATGGCCTGATTTGATAGTATCACTTTATGGAAAAAGGGCGAAAACCAAATGAAGGTCTTTGGAGGCCAAAGGATGAAGTACCTCAATCTACCCTGGCTAGCTGCAGGAACTAGGAGAACGATAGCCAGCTCACTTGTGCAGCATCTAGCAGACAGCGTGCACAGAGTAATACCCAGCCAAAGTTTTCGTATTGTTCATAAGGCGCCTGCTAATCAACCCAGTAGTGTACAGCACCTCAAAATTGCAGTGACTGAAGCTATCGCTACATGACATCTCAGTCCAATCCTTTTTCGACAAAAACGCCTTGTTCGTGTGTTGGACCTGCCATGGTCCAGCTCACATATAACCAAATAAATATACTGTGCCAAACACAACTATAGCACTGCTTGCACTGAAAATATCAGGCCATCCTAATGGTAACTTGAACTAGTCGTTCTTTCACCGGTTGCCAATTCTATTACCCACTGGGCTCCTTGTTTGATGTGTACCATACTAATCAAATTGGGTTTTATACTACTGTCTTACCCTTCGCAACTGCATGACTTAAAAAGCGCTTGCCAAATCCTGTTTGGCAACAAATATTTACTCTTAATGGATAGCCATCATATGTTTGGATCAAACGGAAAATCTAATGCCGATTTCTGTACTAGATCACTTGGCGGTCACCCTTCACCGTTCTTCTGTGAACAGAAAGTAGAACATTGGTTTTTCAACCTGCAGGCGCCTTTGTCCTTATTACCCAAATAACAAGATCATTTTTCTTTTTCGCCTATTCGATCGTCAGACTGTTCGGCTGGTGGTCAATAAGACATGTGACGCATAATGAGAAGACGTAGGCCTAAGATGGAATGGAAATACACTTTGGTTTCCTCAAAAGCCTCACAAGTGATTTATTGCTCACATCTGTGTGAAGGAATTGATGAATGCCGTCTCTTTGGGGCATAGACTAACCTTTCCGCATCAGGAAGTCTGCTACCTGAACACTGAATTCATTTTTTCGCTCGATAAATTAATATTATGAGGCAAAATTTCATATCGCATACTGAATGACATAAAGCTTTGGGTGTGGCTCTCAATCAAGCTTTATCGGGTCCAACCACACTTTCGCTTCATAAGCCTTTGGTTTACATTTTTGGCAAAAGAGCAAGGAATATCAACTGGATTGCAGCCGTTTGGCCTTTGGCAAAAGATACACAAAAAATGCTTCTTTTTTTACTGAGATGCGTCAATCTACTATGCCACTTTGTTCTTTTTCTGTGACGTATATTGTCTGTCTTAGTGAAAACGTATCCATTCAAGAAGCTCCTTCCGAGTGTTTAAATGTTGAAACCCTTGAATACCTGTATTCTAGGTGCAAATCTCACCAGACGTCAGGTCGCATCTTAAACGCGGTGTTCCTTTGGTCTTCTTGATTATGTGGTCCTTCAAAGTGATGCGTTTCTAGCGTTTTCCGTTGCAGTTTGCTGAAGGACTTTTTATGCCGTGTTTCAGTCGTTACCTGCAGTCCAGTCTTGAACTTCCAATTCCGCCTAACTATTTAATCGCGCGCACATCCACTGCACACTCAATTCTCTTTTCCAGATACCCATCCCCGAACGGTGAGCTTTCGCATCAAGCACTATCCGGCTGATCCTTTTGCGGATCTCAAGTTGGCCAAGACCCAGTGAGTCTCATGATTTTCATTGCCTTGTATTTGCTATATAGTCATTTGACCCAAGACCTATCCCTGTTCCGAGAAAAAATTTATCAGAATGATGAGAAGCAGATCAACGGACTAATTTTTGTGAATTCCAACTATCGCTTTCACCATCTTTTTATGATACCTTTCCGCAAACTTATCCATCTTGATCCCCTCCCAGCTGTCGACTCTTTGTTGGATTCATCTTCCATTCCGGGTGGGCGTCCTGCAGATGAAGAGCTGTTGTCGTCTAAATACCTCCCCTGGATTGGTTGACACATACTGTACTGAAAAGACGCTAAATTCTGCCTTTTATACTTTTGAGAGAGGTTTTGTTCAAAAAGATTTCAACGATCACTAGTTTCTTCTGATGTCCAGCACGTCACTTGAGCACGATTTCCAACAATGTTTGTTCCGGGTACTGCTGATACAGCGCAGATACCCCGACAACTAAACGCACCGGGTTTCGGTTTGAGAATTATCACTTCTTGATAGTTTGAAGGAATTCTGGAGTTACCGGTCGAGATTTCACCCCGTTTGTGAACCTAATCCATAGTGGATGACCCCGAAAAAGCACTGTTGAGTAGGAATCATCATCAGTGTTCACCCCACGAATCTACGGGGAGATTCGAACTTACAATATTTCCTGGCTGGCTATTGAACAGTACGCCGTTTGGCCAAGAGTGGCTGGTCGCCAGTGTGAATAAATTGCAGGGTATAGCGTCACTCATTCTTCAATCACGGAAGACACATCACATGATCGAGTGTTGGCTCTTCTCTCGAATGACGGTTTCTCCGTTTGGAGGCCCACTTATAATGTGAACCATTCTTCACCCTGAACTACTTTTATTTCATAGCAGAAAAAAGTGTCGGTTGGAAAATAGCAAAATTTTTATGGTTCCGTACTTTTAAGCCGTTCATTTTTTGTGGAGCGTACCAAGTGAGGCACGTAGTTTCGAAGGAAGCCGTATTCAGTCTGGTACGGCTTTCACTATCGCTTACAGACCAAATGGGATGATAACATCTCCGTCCCGAAGTTTTCTGCGTTGAACCTGGGTCCCGTTGTCCCATGAAATCAAAATGAGGGGTTCATTCAGGCATTGATGGATAATGTCGTGAGAGGCCGTGAATACTACACTCGGTGTGGAGTCATAATGCAACTGGATATTACTCGTTCTGAAAGGTCACACAACCTGGACTTTTTTGCTCACATATATGCTGTGCGCGCAGATAAATCAGGACACACAAACTTAATGGACTAAGCTGGTGAATACGTTCATAACCTTAGTGAAATGGTTCGGTGACTTTGGTATTGGCATGAATAAGGAAAAATTCCATTTGTTGGGGTTGGGTATCATTAGAATGTGATTTGGTTGTTGTCTGGAACGTCTCTAGCCCCGATGTAGAATATGAAGCAAACATATTCCAGGATTTTCTAGGAGGAAGCGATGTCCACCTGTGAGCAATCTTTTCGAACATCATGTTCCATTTGGGTCAACAAAAGCGAGACTTTTTCATTGCATATGTTTAAATCGGCCATAAACTCGCCATTCGTACGTAGTCCCGATCGTTGCACAATCGATAACTTTTGCGGGCTATTGGCAAGTCTTGCTTAAAAGAATAAAGTTACATTTATGCCCGGTCTTTTCTAGAGAGCCCTCACGTGGCAACGACCACTTTTGTCTGATCTCCTAAGTGACGTTTCATTGGCAAATCTCCTCTGACAATCCTTCCGAACTGTGTGCTCAAACGAGGCAACCGTATATTTAAATTGGAGAGGGAACAGGGTTGAGCAAGGTTCACAAGTGAAATTACAATAGTTTCCAACTCTGTTCAAACATCTCCACTATGCTTTCATGGGAAACTTTGCCATGTCCAAGCGTCTTCAACTCAGATCTAGTCAACATCTATTTTCGTCTACTGTGTACACGGATTTAACTGCAAAATATCTTTGAGTCAAGATTGGTAGGCGAAATGCAAAAACTTTGACACCTTTGATAATTTGAGGTTCAGGGAATAATTGAGTAAGGTTTCAAAGTGAAATAGTGAAAATACTTTGTGGTTCAACGATGGAAGTTAGAGCATTTCAGGGATTTGTGCAATTAGGCACAGGAGACCACTTAGGTGATATCGCTCACACATTTTTACGGTTTTATGCCCTTGTTTGCTTCATTTCTGATATCTTATTTTAGAGATCTGTGTGATGGCTTTTTTCGGACTTATTCAAACAACCTGACCGGTCGTATAAAGTCAGACATTTGTTCACAAATGACCTAATGGTTGCTTGGGTTTTCATTCAAACTAGGCCACCTTTTCCTACCCAGCCGTTAAGGAGTAGGTCAAGTAATTCCGTGGCTAGCTGGGGCCCGTGCAGCTACTGATCACAGTTGTAAAATAGGTACTCAAGTTCCAGGATGTCTCATGGTTAATAGGGCAAAGCTGTCGTCCAAACGGTCAGGCGAGCCATCACTGACTCGTCTACTCTCAGAAAATAAGAACTAAGGGTATCGTGTGGCTGGAGTTCCGGGCTGTGATCAAATATTCAGTAAATTATTCTGTTATACTCAATAGCGAATCACTGACGGAGAATTATTCATGTGACCTCGAATCGTTCATGTGTGTCCAGAGCCTCCGCGCGTGCTGAAAATGTAACTTTCGTATGATATCTCCTGAATGACTCCCTAAAGCTATTAAGCTCCACCTGATGTTTGACTGTGTTGTCTCAACACCTGGGTTTTGCCACGTAAGGATGGCCTTGCACAATAAATCCGGCTTTGAACGGCAGAAAATATCACCGACCAGCAATGATGACTTTTCTTCATCTGTAGATTGAAGAATCGTTTTGTTCTTTACATATTCAACCAAAAATTTCAACGGCTGACGCGCTTTATTGCCTCTGCTATCGTTAGAGTTCGGGATTTTGTCTCGAAAATTCTCTGCCTCTTTAATGTTTTCAGTGTTATCTTGTTTACCACTTCCTGATTCACGTCATTCTGCATAAGATATCTTGTGATGCTATCCTGGTCACTATGTTGGGTAGCGTAGTGTATTGGCCAGGATATTCTTTTAACAATGATTGTGCGCAAGTTCATCTAAATTTTGACCACCATTTTCCTGAGGTATGCAGGTAAAGATTTTCTGGAAGGCAACATAAAGTATAGTATAATAATATCACATTTCGGTTCATCCTCTCGTTATTCTCTTCCCTAGCTACCTTTTGTACCGACAGTTACGACGGGATCTCGCCAGTGGGCGTTTGGTTTCTGGGGTTGACGAAATGGTACGGTTAGCCGCTCTAATCGTTCAAGGTCAGTAACTCACTATCTGTCTGTTTTTAAGTTAATAGCCACTTCATTCGTACTAGCTTCTTGTGCATAGTGTTTGGGGTCATTGTTGTTCCGTAATTACTTTGCAAGCAGTTGATCCCGTGTACTCAGCGAACCAGGTCTCTAGAGACAACACATGTAAAATGGGCTAGAGAAATTTTCATACGGGTTTTAAATAGTTCATATTTGGAAGCAGTGTGCAAAACCATGTGAAAAACTTGGGGTAAAAGTGCAAGAAAATCGAAGGAATTGTACCAGTGAGGCACATTTTAAAACTGCCGTTCACAGTTGTGCAAAATATGGTGTCAGCGGACCACATAACCGCTGATTATGGTAATCTGTGCAAAAATGCATTAAGAGAGGCTGCAGTCCACGGCCATACTCCTAACAGATTTCTATAAGATTTCGCACGTCCGATTAGACCGTATCCCGAATCCATTGTAGGTTCAACAAGTTAGCTCACTGGAAACGGATTCTACCCTTTTTCTCTGCAGGTTCTTAAGACAACTCTGCGATGCATGCGAGTGCATTGATGATTAGTAAACCACCCAGGTAAACTTGGTTAGACCATCCGGGTGAATTCTACCGTTTCTTTTCGACACATGCTGAGCTTACCTTCACACATCAAATGGTAAGATTGCCATCGTCCTCATCACTATCGGTAAAATTGTCAGATAGATCAGATTTCTGAAAATAACCCCGAAATGTCTGGAATTTGGTGAGACCGTAAAACCCCACCAAAATCTCAAGTGGGAAGCCGGCAAGCATCTGCACCAGTCAATCAGTCAATCAATTCGGCAAAGCTGTGTGGTCAGACATTCTATAGAAGTGCGGTCGATGTTGATGGGTGTTCACTAACCGCCGATCAGACAGCCTAGATCAATGTGAAAAAGGGTCCTTTGAATAGCGCAAGCCCCTTGTAACTTTTGCACTCGGTTGTTGCAATAAAGTTGTGTTCTTTGTTGCCAAGTCTTCCGGCTACAGGGCACTGGAGCAGGGACAGCAGTAGATACAACAAAATTCTAGCTCGAGTTTCCCTTATCCAATCTTTGGCTTTTGATTCAGATTTTGTTGGTTATATTATGGTTGATAAATATGTTGATAATTATGTTATGGTTGAATTGAATGGATACATGAGTTTAGGGTTCGAGCCCACCCAGTTTCGCAGCAGCAGTTTACACTTTTCAGGTGTGAAGCACATGCCGAACCGTGAGGCAGAATTGTTTAGATTGTAATACCGTTTTCATTACCACGGCGTCAGATCCGAGAAGAGCTATGTTGTCTGTGTACTCTACGTCTGTGGGCGAATGTCCCGTGAGCACTTCGACCCCACTGGCATTAGAGTCCGGCGGTGAGTCTTCCATAATCGTATCGGTGACAAAGTTAAAGAAGAAGGCCCTGCCTGACTCCACTTGGTGTGGTGAACTCAGACGAGAGCTTCTCGTGAAGCTTCACAAGTCCGCGGGAGTTGGCGTACAGTACCTTAAGGAAGGCCAAGAATTTATTGGAGGGACCTTTGCTTCACAGACGTTGACAGGTGCCTGACAGTCCACAGAATCAAAGCAGTTTTTAAGTGAAGGGACGCACCATTGTTGGGTGCCGGAAACAATGCCGGTGTTCCAGTATCTGTCGGATGGTGAAAACATGATCGATGAATCCTTTTGCAGGACAGAACTCAGTTTGGTTTCCACAGATCTGGGTTCAGTCAACTTTCGGACGATAAGACCAGGTAGCACATCCGATGCTGAAGCTACCAGGTTGATGCCACGGTGTTTTCCACACAACGTCTACGTACTCTTTTTGAAGACAGGAAGACCTATCGACGCGCCCTATTCTGTAGGATTTTTGTCTTCGCTCCATATCGCCCCAATAAGCTTTGTCAGGTGGGTCACCAGGGATTCTCTGCATTCTTTGAAGAGGGCTGGATACAGACCGTCCATTCTTGGTGCCTTCTAACGTTTCAGTACGGGTACTTCTTACTTTATTTTTCTACGGACGGGTGATTAAAGTTTACAGTCAATTCGCCCTTATGCACTTTCTCCGCAGGCTGGGTTGCTAGGGTCCAACTAAGCTGTTATTCGAAGTGTTTGGCCCATGTTTCCGGTCAACGTTTTTGTGAATGAATTATTCGCCGCCTTTTTCACTTATCGTTTCACTGACAGCTGCCTTCTAGAGCCAGTCAATTGCATCAGTTGGTATACGGCACAGCTATTTCTGGTAGCAAAGGCCCTCTCCATTTCCCGAGATTTTAATGTCCACCAGAACACGCAGTCTTTCCTTAACCTCTTTACTATTGGGCATTTGAGGGGTTTGCACACTGCTGCCTGTTGGTATGGATTTCCTGACATCAGTGGACATCTGACTCTTGATAACTCTTGATTTAAAATATCCTTCTTAGCGTCAGAACTGCAGTCCGTTGGGGGCATAGGTTGACTGTACAAACAGGACCGTTTTTTATGTCAAGAGACGTTGAGCTTGATTGAGCTGGTTAACTGGACTGCGCGAAGACGACTGTTAACTGGGACCCGATCCAGAAAAGCGGCTGAGTGCCACTCCCAAGCCGTATATTTCAGGAATCATCGCTTCTGGATCACCGAAAACATGGAGGCAGAAATGTGAAAGAACTGAGTACGTCCTTGACGTTGTGGAATGAATAACCAAGCTTGGGTCATGTATGCGTGTTCCGGACTCAAAACATATCAATTTTAAGGGAGTATAAAGTCTCAGTGAGCATTGCCTGTTCGCCAATTCGACTTAGACTACGGACGTCAAAAGCTCTTATGTGGAAAGAATTTTGTGAATTTAGAGGTGTTACTTTGTTTATTGTTAGTAAGCAGTGTGGCGCATAAGGCATGTTGGTCAGTTAACCGACAATCGAATGACCCAGCAGCCTGTGTTTGTATGGTAGGAGGAGTTTGAGAAGGTACATTGGTGGACAGAACTGTGCGAGTCAATGATACTTCCCGCTTGCCCAGGCTGAGGAAGAGGGTTTGGTTGAGGTACCCCACCTTCAGCCTTTGACTCAAAAGTCTGACCCACAAGATGTAAGGTTTCGTTCGGAGACCCCGCCCCTAGCCTATAACCCAAAAGTCTGACCTACGAGACAGCGGATAGTAGGGTTTTCTTTGGTGACTCGACACTCCGGCTTGCCGGGCTGCAGGAGTTCGGCCTAACCCGAGGGCGCAGAGAGCAAGGCAACACTGTTTTACTCCTGATGCGCCTGCGCACAGTATGTCTTTGGGGAAGCACCGCACTTTCTGGTTTTAAAAGTACTTCGACTTTACTGAATAATGCGCTCGCGATTGACTGCTGAGCGAGTGGGCTGTGCAGTTTTTAAGGCCAACCTTTTTTAACCCGCGATTTCTCGAGGGAAGACAGCATTGCTGCTTCCATGAATGTGGACATGCTAGTTGCTTTGGAAAGCACATTGCTGCCTTAACACCCCTATCGCGGAGGACTGTAAGACCCTAAACCGTCTCATAGCACGATTACTGGTATTTCGGGGTCTGACTGCCCCCCTCTGGCTTTCTCGACCTGGTGGCACCTTTTAAAACACAGTTTCAGCTAGTGTAGCCCGCGAGATCATTGCAGCATCAAAGCCCGACCAGCTTCAGGTCCAGACTGACTTCCCAATCCTGTTGCGAGTATACTATGTGTACCGAGCTCAAAAACGAGGTCTGACCTTCATCCAAGCTGTTGGTTTTGTATAACAGGAAGCAATCACTGGTGTATGTATAACCACAACGTTACTGATTTTCCTTCTTTTGAGGTGATTGCCTTTACTGCTGAAGTTATGTTTTCTGCAACAGAAGTTTAGATGACGTAGCTGCTTCACTAATGTTCAGGTTAGTTCAATAAACAATTGTGCGATTCGTTATCTAACAGATTTCCGACGCCAATAGAACAACCAATCAAACTTTTTTACATCGAGATGATGGCTAAATGTCTTTAAGTCCTCATCTCGTAAAGTGTAGGTTAGTTGTTGATCGGTTCGCTGAGGGATAGTAATGCGTTTGTATGGTATTTTTTCAAATATGGAAGAAGTCGTCGTTGAAGTGGAAAGATTCTAATTCCCTTATCACGTAGTCCTTTCAAAATGCTGAATATGGCTCACCAAAATGTTCGTTTGTTAGTACGGGTGTCATTTTTTCGCTGCGGTAAAGTTTCTACGGGATACTTATCCAGTGAAAAATAATCCCCATAGTTGTGCCTTCTCACCAGGATAGAATGGTGTCTTCGTTCTATCTTTCTACCTTCCGTATCTCCAAAGGTCCTGCCGTGTTCCATGTGGGCAATGCGCCTCCAGCGTTCGCCACAACATAACTACTTTCTCAGTCGGACTGTTTGTTACTCAGTAAATTAACCCAATACCCCACAAAAGTTATCGATCCCGGCTTATATTGATCCGTTCACTAAATAAAGATCAGATCGCCTTTGTGTTTCCCATATGAGGATTGGTAACGAACAGAAGACTTTGTCAAATTTGCCGAACTCATAATAGAATGTGAATAGATTATGTGTATTATCCGATCAGTTTCAAAAACTGCACGGATAAAACTGACTCAAATTTCTTCTTAAGTGAAACTCACGTAATGCTGCCGTTGTATTATTCACTCTGCTTTGGCGTCTCACAACTAATTAAATTAAGTTAAAGCAATTGTCTGGAAAACATTTGTTTCCCATTCCATAATGGAGTATTATCCTCCTCGCTAAAACCCGCCGTTCAGCATGAATGGTTTTTGAAAGTGTGGCCCTCTCGAAAAAAAAGCTTTTCGATTTACATTCGAGGCCTTCTGGGAAAAAGCGACTAACAATAAGACTGATAATGACAACGTTACTAATACTTTCTTATGTCTACTACGAGCGTTTAGCCAAAATCCATCTGGATGTGTATTTTTTGTGAGATTTTCATAGGACGCACAGTAACTTTTCGCTTGATCGGAATGAACGCATCTGATACCTCATGAACAGAGAACTCAGTGGGTGAGATTCAAAGCCTTTTGTCGGAAATACCGCAGCTAGAACTCAAAATGGGCTTTTCGATTACTCCTCTGTAGACTTCGGCTACCTGGCTTTATCTTAACCCCTGCACTTCTTTCGAGTTGCACAGTAGTTGCCCGTGGAAAATATACCACAACTGGGGGATATCCATTCGGATAACTAGGATACGCCAAATGTGCTCCGAGACCGTTAAATGTTGAGTGCAAATAAAAATATGTCGCACTTTACACATCATCAATTGCTTCATTTTGCCTCTTCATTTGGCGTTCTATCCGGTCTGATTCTTCCAGATCAAAGCATTTTAGAAGCATGCCTATCGTATCCTTTCGTCGATCTTTCTAGATCCGGTTACTGCATGATTTTCATTTGTACCACTTAATTGGTCACTTTTTGAGTCAAATAAAGTGGTACAATATGAAGCGAAACGCATTATTGTCCGGGAAACATGTATTGATCAAATCTACACGCAAATATTTGATATGCTGCTAAAGTTGGCCATCGACCATGTAACACAAGACCTATATATCTGTCATGGATCGCCTATCGATGATTCCGCGTTGCTTGGTGATGATCGAATGCTCAACAATAGGCACCTTGGAAGAAAAACCCGGAAGGACAATAACAAAAAAGCGTTCAAGCTCTAATCAGCCCATTAGGACAGTGAAGCCAGATTCATTTCGTACTGACTCTTGGACGATTAGTCAATTTAGTTTTCGTGATCGGCTTTGTGTCGCATCTGTTTTGTGTTTTGCTACGGTGTTACCTCAGGTTAAACGTCCGGTTAGATAGTACGATGAGAAAGAGCGCAGTAATCCGATCCATTGAAGTGCATTATGGACACGCCTTGGCAGCCCCCAAGGTCCGTAATTTGAATGTACAAGCAGTGTTGCGAAGCAAAGTCGTAGAAGTCCTCCAGTGGCGCAATCAAGGAAACTGTCGAGATATTTTGCCACTATAACTGTCCATTTTTTAACTACAGAATGTGTATACAAATGGGGTAAAATATGACATAACTTCCCATTATAAAGAGCTACCGAGCGTTTGCATTCTGAACTCTTCCAATCAGAGCTGGCTAACTGATCAGAACTGGCTAACTTCCTAAAACTAGTAGAACCTCAATGCTTTAATTCCCTGGCAGTATCCACTTATTTACACTGCGTCTTAGAACAACCATTGGTGTGATGTCTATTAAAGAGGAGGCCTTCAATACTGCTAACGATTTTGCACTGACTGAAGCATATAATGGGCTTTTTCTAGCGCCATCGGTCTCGGAAAGCAGCAAATCTGCAGGTATGAGAGACTCTGGGTGTCGCGGGAACATTCCCCTCAGTATAGCTCACTGGGTAGTTGAGGTGTGCAAACCGTCACAGCACGGTAAAGTCCAGTCTTTTCGTGACATGTACGGCAGTAAAGCATCGGCGTCGAACACTGATGTCATGCTGTCGGTGATGATGATGATGATGATGACGACAGCATACATGAAGCGACTTGCACGCCAAACCAACGGTAACTGTCAGTGGGTCGATTCGCGATCAACACACACA